CTCGGAGCAATTGCCATGAAAGTATTTGTAAAACAGACAGAGAGAGGCGACGGCGCATCTGTGAGAGAGCGACTGTAGACGAGATGCCAGAACAGGGCCAATTATATTGCATATCCGCCTCTGGATCTTATCAAGAACCCCGAGGCAAACAGAAGGGGCTCCAAACCACGTATGGCAGCAATACTCCATGCAAAAGCGAATTGTTGATTTGTAGATCTGGAGTATCGATTCTGGGGAGAAAAATTTCCTGGCGCGGCACAGGGAGCCAACTTTCCTTGCGGTGGACGAAGCAATTGACTCAATGTATTTTCATAGAGACAATGAGGTATTATGGTGGATGTAGTAAGAAAGGTAAGTAAGAATGTGTTAGGAATATTGTGGTATGTTCGGGTCAGTGTTTGTGACTAGCTAAGTTTAAATTTAAGATAGAAGAAGACCACCGTTTTCCCTATTCCCCATTTTGGCCATAACAGGTGCTACCACCTCGGGTCAGGGTGGACCTGGGAACAACAGCAAGAGTTGGTTCCATGCTCCTCAAAACCTCTTGATCAGAGGCCTTGCTGTTGGACGTAGTTTATCGTCTTACCCTGGACGCGGATGTAGTTTATCATCTTACCCAGGACGCCTCATTTGGGGGGGGGTCTTACCCCTCTGCAGAGGTGCAGTCAGCGTATTCTGAAGTCCCAGCCGACAGGGCGCGGTTCGGTTGAGATTAAAAGTTGGTTTGCTCGATGGTTAAGTTTTCAAATCGCATTTTGTCACTGATCTTGTGTTTGACGAGAGCTAAAAATAAATAAATAAATAAATAAATAGAATAAAATACAGAGAAAGAGAGAGAAAGAAGGTTTGAGTCCATTTCTTTTTATACTGCTTATTACTACGCCACCTATCGAGAATTAAGAGAACTCTCTTGGCAGAAAAAGCGGGGACAGTTCCCCATAACCTTCGTATGTGTAGGCTACGTAATATTCTTGTTTTTCTGTTAAGATAATTTAGGTGGAAGTTAGAAATAGCTTGAGGCATGCACATCTTGTCAAATGCGAAATCAACTTCCAATGAAGTCTTGCCTTATGTTACGTGAGTGTATGTGTCCTATCTATGTTGCCGATTGACTTCCCAAATTTTTGTTTTAAAACGAACGTTAAATAAGCACAAACATTTCACTGCTAAAGTAATATCTATCTATCTATCTATCTATCTATCTATCTATCTATCTATCCTATACTGTTTATATTTCAAGACTTCTATCTATCTATCTATCTATCTATCTATCTATCTATCTATCTCAGTTTTTTCATATCTATCTATCTATCTATCTATCTATCTATCTATCTATCTATCTATCTATCTATCTATCTCCAGCTGTTCTCTATCTATCTATCTATCTATCTATCTATCTATCTATCTATCTATCTATCTAGATATATATATATAAAATGAATTTTCGTTCCAGGACAATCATTAATTTCACTGTCTTCATTACCGTCTACGAATTGTCTGGAAGCGCTATTAAATTATCTGACAGAAACGTAGACAAAAATATATATCTTGTCAGCCATTCCGAGGCAATCATGGTGGACACTGCGTTTGTCAGTGCCTACCAACTGGCTTCAGTCACGAATTTACAACCAGATTTAAAAAGACTTGATTTGAGTCAGCGGAGAGGTATTTCTGCGGAATTGTACTGAGAATACTCTAGACGTGTGATGGAGTTGACAGTCACTTTTTTTCTGACTCCAGATAAATTGTCTTCACCCAACAAAAATATAGCCTCGTGATAATGAAGTAAAAACAAAAAGGAGTGAAAAATTCAATTCAAACAACGCGTGAACAAAAAATAACGAGAAGACAAAAGTTCTGGTGTCAATAACAGCTGAAATAATTATTTTTGACAGATGATACAAAATCTTTGAAGTATAGTATATGTTGACGTGCAAGGTGACTGGGCGTATAAGACGACTCCATAGTCGTATTTTGAAATGTATTGAATTTATTAAATAAATTCAGTTAGCATACGAGGTCTGTCTGAGAATAACTGGACTGGATGTCCTGTGTGAGCTATGGACGAAAAAGGGATAAGCAGGTCATGTTATCATATAACATGATATCTTGAGATCATACAGGGTAGGTGAAAATTAAGTAATTAAAAATTTGGTAATAAAATCCATATTCCTATTACAAATTTATTGAAACACATATGTTCTTATTACATCTTTATCTATAAAAGGCAGGATGTGTGTGTGTGTGTGTGTGTGTGTGTGTGTAACGAATGCACGGCCGCAATTTTCGACGACTTTGCACCAAAATTTACATGCACATGCTCCAAGTTAGCAAGAAGGCCAAGACCGACTTTGCATTTCCCAACTCCCATCGATAGTGGAAATATTCGATTTTTTCATGCTTCTACGGCAGTTTTCATGTAGCTTGCGGCCATTTTCTACTGGCCAGTGTGAGAGCCAATAGCTGGCTGCCACGAATAAGCAGGAAGATTCTATTGGCCAGCGTGATAGCCAACAGCTGACTGACACGAATGTTAACTAGCATGCTAGCATGCAACAAAAAATCGATAGCTGCATTCGTCACAAGTGGGAAAAATTTAAATCTGCATGGCACTTTAATCCAATTGGCTCATTCGCTTGCTTAAACTCAACGTTAATTCTGATTCCGAAGAACTGGGTTGGGTGTGAAAAAGTATCTGTTGTTAACATTCTTTTTTTCATTCGGTTTTTCCAGTTACGAGTCCTTTTTTAAAGCTGATCGTTTTGTATTCATTTTGTTTAGTTCTTTTTTCGTTACAGATTTAATGTTTAGTATAGAGCTTAGAAAAAATTCGCAGTGTGAGATAGACAAGAAGTAAGGCATGTATCAACATCAGCACGGCAAAGTGCACTCCTTTAAAGGCAAGGAAGGGCAAAAATATTTTAAGTCAAGTGATAGCGATTGCTGTATGAGTCGTACGATTTTTGAATCAAGCATGGGCAACGCCGGGTCATGCTGCTAGTGGGAAAATAAAAGCAAATCTTCATGTTTCAACGTTAGCACTGGTGGCGTCAAACAGATTCTTCAAACGGCCGGGGATGGAATGAACAACCTTCTGAAAGACATCGTCTGGGATATCATTGAGAAACTCCTGGATCCGTGTCTCTATGTCCAGTGGGCGAGGTTTTGTCTTGTAAACCTCCTCTTTTGCATAATCCCACAGGTAGAAATAACAAGGATTGAGATCTGGACTTCTTGGAGGCTATTCAAGGGATCCGCGTCGTCCCATCCACGGCCCTGGAAAATGTTGGTCTAACTACGCACGCACAGTAAGAGCATAATGGGCTGGTGTACCATCCTACATGAATATCAGGTCACCAATGTTATCCCAGCCAGACACCGTGGGCTATACGTAATATTCGACCATCTGAAGATAGCAGTCCGTATTCATGATATCAGTGTTATTGTCCTATTTCAGGTCTAATTCTGCTACGCGCTCTATTCGTTAGAATTCGGATGATAAGTTTTGTTATGTGGCTCATTAGAGTGGTTGTCCGATGGAGTTCACTTTTCTCTGCACCTGGCTTCTTATGCAGTGCTATGAAAATAGACCTACTTACTTCTGGTATATCACCACTGTCGTATACGGATATGCAATGTAATATCAGGTCGCCAATATTATCTCAGCCAGACATCGTGCACCACATGTAATATTCGACCATCTGAAGATAGCGGTCCGTATTCATGATGCCACGCAGAAGATATTGGCCGACGACTCTTGTTGCCATCATTGCGTACCACACGGTCACTTTTGGTCGAGTCTGAATCCTCTCAACCGTCGAAGAGTTATCATACGACGCCCGGTAATGGTAGTTGTGACGATTGATGAAACCATCCACATGGAATACAGCCTCGTCACTCCAGAGGATGTTTTTAAATAATTCCGGCCATCTTCACCCCAACCTAACATTAACTCTCCATATTCCATTCTGCGGTCGCAGTCTTAAGGTTTTAGCTCTTGCATATAAATAAATCCCTAATAGTGACGTCTGTCTGAAAAAAATATTTTCGTCATGACTTTAGTAATACTGAAAATTCTATAAGCAATTTTTAAGACCTAGTTACTTTCCACGCACCCTGTATAACTGTAACCTTAGCTTTCTGTAGCCATTGCATATTTTTCACATGTTAGAGTTATGGCAGGACAAATCATGGCTGCTTCATCACGACAATGCGCATGCTCACAACAACGATCTGAGCATCCGGCTGTTCCTAACCAAGAAGAACATCGTCGTGCTGGAACAACTCCCCTATTCATCTGATTTTGCTCCGCATTACTTTATTCTTTTCACCAAGTTGAAGGGGATTACCAAGGGGACCCATTTTGAAGGCGTGGCGGCCATCGTAATGGCGGAGCTGAGGGGCATCCAAGAAGAATTCTTCCAGCAGTGCATAGAAACGTGACAGAGAAGGATGCAAAAGTGTATAAGACTCGAGATGGCTTACTTTGAAGGGGAAACCATGGAGTTTGTCGTTTGGAATTTGAAATAAATTGTTTGTGACACCAGTCCCTTAACTTTTCAGACACGCCTCCTATACTTTCTTTTCCCTCAAATTCTAATAAAAAATGAATATTGAAAAACGAACGTTTCCACCGCCCACATTCCTCTGTGATTCCTGCTAACGACTCTTCAGGAGTCAGCTGGGTCTTTACAGTCATCTCCGCTACCAGAGGGGAAAAAAGGGAATAAGAAGAGGATGACGATCCCGATGCTAGGGTGCGAGCGGTTGCCGACGACGACAACAGCGGCTGAAAAAACGGTGGGGAGATATTTTCAGCTTACTACCACAATCTATAATATCTCATGAATGGGTACTGTGTTTTCGGTAGGTTATTACAGTACCCTGAATGAGTTTTCCTCGCTAACCATCCACAGCGTTCGACTTTTCTCGAATTCGATCTTTAAACGGCTAGTTGAGACACACATCCATTTGTGTTTTTGTTCAATTAACAACCCCATATGCACTTTTCGTTACACTTGCCGTTACCCCTACAACAATCTACACTTGCCGTTACCCCTACCACAATCTACACTTGCCGTTACCACTACAATAATCTACACTTACAGTTACCCCTACCACAATCTACACTTACAGTTACCCCGACCACAATCTACCCTTGCCGTTACCCCTACCACAATCTACACTTACAGTTACCCCTACAACAATCTACACTTGCCGTTACTCCTACCACAATATATACTCGCAGTTATCCCTACCACAGTCTACACTTGCCGTTACCCTTACCACAATCTATACTTACAGATACCCCTACCACAGTCTACACTTGCCGTTACTCTTACCACAATCTATACTTACAGATACCCCTACAACACTCTACACTTGCCGTTACTCTTACCACAATCTATACTTACAGATACCCCTACAACACTCTACACTTGCCGTTACTCTTACCACAATCTATACTTACAGATACCCCTACAACACTCTACACTTGCCGTTACTCTTACCACAATCTATACTTACAGATACCCCTACAACACTCTACACTTGCCGTTACTCTTACCACAATCTACACTTACAGTTACCCCTACAACACTCTACACTTGCCGTTACTCTTACCACAATCTACACTTGCCGTTACTCCTACCACAATCTACACTTACAGTTACCCCGACCACAATCTACACTTGCCGTTACCCCTACCTACGGGGATTTTTTGGCCGAGCCTACGGGCTTGGGAACCCCACATTAAATTCGGCCTTGTGCCACATGTGACTGCATGGGGCAGTTGCTAAATAGCGTCGGTGTCGGACGACAGTTAGTCGAATACGAAAGTTGTCAGCGACCACAACAAGATTACTCTGCGTAATACCTATTATATCAAGTTCCTAACGTTTTGTACGTCGAACTATTTTAGGACCGATTTAGTACAACTACAAGCCTCCACTGTGAAAATACTCCATAACACTCCGAGAGGTGATATCTGTTCACCATCATTGGCGGGAGTTCAGACTCTGATCGGCGGTGAATGAATGTAATCAGTTCGGTTTCCGAGATATTGAATGTAATCAGCCAGTTTTTTTTTTCCACGGGGAAGTTAGGGTTAGATCGGAAAAGATGTCAGTTGTCAATCTCTGATTGTCAAGAGTTTTAGATGTGTGCCATATATAGTCGTATCATCGGTACAGATGTTACAAATGATCGGAGGCAGATCATTTATGTAAATCAGAAAGAGGCTTGGTCCAAGAAGTGACTTCTGAGAGGAGCCTGCGTCGAGCGCCAGTGCCTTGGAGGACTGACTGTTAATAACTACATTCAGGGATCTACCTGTTAGGAGCCGATCATTTTACCTGCATCTTTAGCAATGGATCGTGTATAAGAGTTCCACTTGAGCTCGGGTGTGAGTTTGAGGCTCAATATTCTCTCAAAGACATGGTGCCTCTTCGATGTTGCATCCCTACGTCATGACTGGTCGCAGTTCGGGGTGTGAGGTATTTTTGCTACACCTTGGATCAGATAAACTGACTTTTAGAGTCATTCTGATTGATCAATAAATATGAGAAGGACGTTTCCTTCCAAACTCAATCATCTTATCCGGATTTTGTCTGCTGAATCTCTTGAAATCCGAATTAGAAGCTTTTATTTCGAAAGGAGCTTTTCATATTGCCTCTAATATAATTGTATATTAGATTTGAAATTCGATTTGTCTCTAATTACAAAAAAAAATATGTGAACTGCTATGCAATATCAGTTCACCTATATGGCAGTGAGTGCTGGACAATCTCCTCACAGATGAAGAAGAGACTTGAAGCAACAGAAATATGGCTCTACAAAAGGATGCTGAAAATACCACAGATAGAACATGTGAGTAATGATGAAATTCTACGGAAAATTAAAAGAAAAAGAAAATTTTTTAGGACACACAATGAGGAAAGAGGGTTTAGAAAATTTAACACTCAAAGGACACATTGAAGTAAGAGGAACAGAGGAAAACAGTGCATAACAGTTTTAACCTAGTGAAGGTTACTGAATAGAATAATCAAACGAAGGTTTGTAATGAACGATAATACTTAGGACAAGAACAACACATAAGATTCGATAGCGGCGCGTAGAAGTAGTAGTCAATTGCTAGAAGTGAGTCAAGTGAATTCCACAGTGAATCTCCAATTGCAGGATATCGACCAACCGCCCCACGCGGTCAGATGTGGCACAAGGCCGAATTGTGCACCAGGCCGAATTGTGGGGCATCCCAGCCCGTAGGCTTGGCCAAAAATTTCTCGTGGACCACGTATAAAACGGGGTCGGGTAGCTGTTTCCTGAAACGAAACTGTGCCCTTCGGCACAGCCTCGTTTGGAGATCCTCTCTGCCCGGAGGCACAGAGTTTGACCAGCGCAGCTGGAGACGAATCTTCAACTGCAGGATATCTACCAACCGTCCCACGCGGTCAGATGTGGCACAAGGCCGAATTGTGCACAAGGCCGAATTGTGGGGCATCCCAGCTCGTAGGCTTGGCCAAAAATTCCTCGTAGACCACGTATAAAACGGGGTCAGATGTGGCACAAGGCCGAATTTAATGTGGGGTTCGTAGGCTCGGCCCAAAATTCATCGTAGATCCTGCATAAAACGGTAGCTGTTCCCCGATTCGAGACTCTGCCCTTCGACATAGCCTCGTCTGGGGAAGACGAAGCGCAAGGAAAAAGTTTTAAGGAAAATTGGAACGAAAAGGACAATTTTGCTTCGGATCAGAAAGAGGAAGTAGAAATGAGGAAAGGAGGTTCGGAGAATCTGACGCTCACAGGTCATATTGAAGGAATAGGCAAGAAGAGAGTAATATGTCGAACGAGTTTGTTTAAATAGATGGCGGAACATGAACAAGGAGGTATAGAATGGGCCAAACATTGCTTCGTGGTCAAACATGAACCTTCGTAAACGCAAAAAAAAGGAGTATCAAAAGGACGGTTTTTTCCTTCACGCCACTATTATTTTAACTACCTTCACTCCTCGGCAATGTTTTTTTTTTAAAAAGCGATGCTTAGAATTGTAATAAAACCTAAACATATGATGAAAGCAAATTTTGTACATTTTCTTTGTTCTTGAGAACAGACAACAAAAATAATAGATAGCATTTATTTATTACATTTTTTATTGGAATGGTTAACAGAACATCGGTTAATTTTCAATTGATTCGAACTTTATAAAATGGTAAATAATAAGGATTTCCTTATAGTTGGTGCACATTTTAATAATGTTTTTAAATTTATGAACTGTTTTCATATTTATTTCTTAATAAATTGGTAAATGATGAATTGCATTAGTTTTAATTGTTTTAATTTTTACAATGTTGTAAATATAAAAAAAATATTCCTGTAAATAAATAATCTAATATATGTAAATAGTGTTTAATAGTTTTGTTGTAAATTCTCAAGAACAAAAAAAAAACTGTATAAATTCATTCTCATCATATGTTTAGGTTTTATTCAGCCAGTTATGTGCCATGCGTGATACACGCTTAGGCGATCATGTATCTTTTGATACATGACTGACGAGGCAGATGTTTTCTCCCGCAGTAGGTTGCCATTTCTTTTTGCGGTAGACCAGTTGCCATCCGGTCTGTTCTGCTATTTACCCGTAGCTGCAAGGAGAAGAAGAGGATTCATACCTTTCCCAAGGGTATTAGCACATAAGTGAATGTAATGGATTCGACTGGAATTCGAACTCTGCTCTCCGATTCCTCAATCTGAGCTGGTATCTATTACTCCTCCTAAATTTTATTGCAATTCTAATTATCGCTTTTTAAAGCAATAAACGTTGCCAAGAAGTAAAGGTAGTTAAAATAGTAGCCGTGTCATGGGAAATATTTTCCGTTTGACACTATGTGTTTTGACGGGCACGAAGCTCCAAGTTTGCCATTTCGTGTTACAAGGAATAAGAATTCATGGGAAGCTATGTTCTCTCTCGCCCTGAAGAATCACAAAGAACATTTCTTAGAAGATATTTCGTCAACCAGTGGTTAATATCAATTTTGTTGCGGGGGATTATCTTTTTTTTTTTAATTTTAATTTTCGTTTGACTGTTTCTTTTTTCTATTTTAGTTTTGGTTTTTCTTTTACTTTTTAATAGAAAGAAATCCTCTCCTGTCTAAGTATAAAGATTTTTCTTTTTTGAACTTTGAAACCGTTCGTTCAGCTGATTTCAAATGGCAAATGACCTTAAATGGCAAAGATCAATGCAAAAAATCTTGGATATTATTTCGAGTCAGTGTTTGTTTTTTCTTTTCTGCTTCATTAAAATCGAATTGATTGAGTGAAGTCATTGATCTAAACGTTTGCTTGCCTATCTGCCATTTTTTTTAGGATTTCAACTTGTAGGAAGAGGATAAAAACAAATAGAAAGGGAGGAAGGATAGAGGGTTGTAGAAAGAGAAGTAGGAGGAGAAAGATTAGAAAATGAGGAGGCGGGAGAGAGTTGTAGGAAGAGGAAGAGGCGAAATAATAGGAAAGAAGCAAGCGGGAGAGTGTTGTAGGAAGAGGAGGGGAAGAAAATAGAAAAGCAGGAAAAAGAGCAAAGGAAAGAGTAGAAAAGAAGGATACAGGAGAGTTGTAGTAATAGGAGGAAGAGAAAGAATAGGAAAGGGGGAGGAAGTTGTAGGAAGAGGAAGAAGCGAAAGAATAGAAGAGAAGGAGAGGGAAAGAATTGAAAGATGAAGGGAAGAGAAAGAATAGGAAGGGAGCATGTGAAAGAGTTATAGGAAGGAGGCGGAGAAAGAATAAGAAGAATGGATGGAAGAGAGGGTTGTAGCAAGAGGAGTAGAAGGAATAGTAAGCGAGGAGGAGTGATGGAATTGTAGAAAGAGGATGAGGAGAAGAAGGAGGGGGTGAAAGAATAGGAAAGTAGAAGGCGGGAGAGAGTTGTAGGGAAATAATATGCTGGAAGGAGAAGGTAGTAGTATTAGGAGGAGGAGGAGAAGTATAAATTCAGATAGGAAAGAAAAAAGGTGACGTAAGGCGATGAGAAAGAAGCGAAAGTAAAAAAAAATTGATAAATAAAAATGATAATGGTGGTGGGGAGAAGACAGGAATAGAAAGAAGAGGAGAAGAAATGTGAATGGAGGAGGAGGAGGATGAGGAGGAGTAGAACAAGTGATGGGGAGAATTTGAGGCAGCGAAGTAAAAGAAACAAGAATGAAAAAAAATGGGGTTGTAACAGGAGAATTATGAACGATTCACTTTTCAAAATAAAAGGATATGGCCTTTTCCGACAAAATATATTAAAAAAAAAATAGATAAAAGCTTGGGAATGAAATACAATGATTATAGTCTACATCAAAACATTAACGATACAGGGATGCTCTGCATTTAAAAATTGACGTTTGAAGTATCAAGCTGTAAAACTTTGCCTATATCGTTCAGCTTTTCCATTGCTTTTACAATGTCTGACAAAAAAGTATCGGGAATGTTGCTATGGTAACGAAGCGAGTACGCAGAGTGAAGCCTCAGACTGACCTTGAAATCTGTCGGGCATGCGCACTGACATAACGTTCGCGGCCGCTTCCTTTGTTTATAGCAGTGCTTGGAAGGAAAGTGTGTAGAGTGTGGTCGTCTCACCACACCACAAAGTTTCCATCAGTGGCTATGACTTGTGCAGCAGTTTTGGGCCAAGTACAACATTCTTCAGGTCCGATAACAATCATATTCCCCAGCGATTTTTTCCTTTTCAAAAATCAAATTCTACTTGAAAGGAACAAGATTTTAAGACATCGAAACAATGCAAGAAAATACGACGAGGTAGTTGCTCGCTTTGCCAAAAAATAAAAAAAATAACGAGTTCCAGAAATGCTTCCGTCAATGGAAACAACGTTGGATAAAGTGTGTGGCTTCGGAAAAGGACTACTTCGAAGGAGATTAAATGCTGAATTGATATGTGCTGTACTTTTTTTTTTTTATAGCACCAGTTATGATACTTTTTGATTAGACCTCGTATTTTTGTAGTTATTGCTTGTAAATATTCCCCCATTTTATGAGTAATAATTTTGCGAGGAAAGTTTGATATTGTATAATTCTGGAAAAATACAGCTTCCCATCCTGCCGGAGCGCGCACTTTTTTCTCTACTATAATTTCTCGAATATTTAGGCCGGTAGACGAAACAAATACTGTTTGAAATGAAGCTTCTACACAAATACGAGTATCCACTAAAGAGAACGTTTAAGTAACCACACAATTTAACAACAGCAACAACTAAAATGGATATCACATGTAACTCGAAGGGAAAATAATTACAATCAAGATGTTGATACTCCACACAACATTAAACAAAAGGTTAGGAAGGAAACCTCCATTAATACTGAAAGGGAAATAACGGAGTTGTAACATTGGAGAAACCTATTTTCCTGAAAAATTGTTTTAAGAGAAGGATTTTATAAATTTCAACCGAGAGTGGCGCTATCTGCTCTGTGAAAGAATGCCGAATGTTTCCTTATAAGGAAACGGCTAATATTACGGTTACCATTAAAGAAGACGAGAATAGATACTACACTTTGATCCTTGTCTGATGGCCAGGGAACGAAGAAAAGCATAAACTCTAGTAGCACTTGGTGCTCGTTCAATTAATGCCAAATGTTTCCTTATAAGGAAACGGCTATTATTACCTTTACAATTAGAGATAAGGAGAACAGATACTACACCTTAATTCTTCTCTGATGGTCAGGGAATGAAGAAAAGAGTTAACTCGAGGAGCACTTGCTGCTCGGACAATGAAAGTCGAATGTTTCCTTATAAGGAAACGGCTAATAATACTATTACCGTTATAAGACTTAAAATACATTTGCGAATGAAAGTAAATATTGACATAAAGTGTAATAATTTCTTGGCATTTTAATTAATGCCATAATTTTTTTAAAGCAAATTATTAATTGATTCTTTGAGTACAGCAAATCATTCATTTACTAATTAACAATTCTATTAATTATCGATCAGACTAATGAGTTTAGATAGGTTTAATGTTGAAAACTGACATCAACATGTTTTAAATTAAAATTCCTAAATAACGAAACAGTTTTAACAAAATTATTGCAACATTTTTATAATGTAACCCTGCGCCCCAGTCTTGCTTTTCAGGTTCCTTCAGACCACCGTGGTTACCATCTAGCTGACTCCTCCCTCGTTAAGGCGTTGCCGGGTTGTCGCTGGTATCGTGTTGATGAGCACGGTTACACTCGATCTAGCTGGCATTTGTCTGCTTCACGACCCTACACTCCTCTGCTACGTTGTGCTTTTCATCTCAGAGGGTGAGAATATCAAAGGACCTTGTTTTCACTTCTCACGTCCTCTTCAAGTTTTAGTTTATATATATTGTTATGGGACCTTACCCATAATAACATAATGGGCTATTCCATACGTAATAAATACTGCGCTTTAAGAGGAAGCAGGGAGTTCAGTCCGTAGTCGAGCGACTGGCTGACCGCCTGATCGGTTGAACTCTCTGCCTTCGGGCGGGGAGGAACCCGAACGAGGCTACGCCGAAGGGCGGAGTCTCTTTCGAGGAGGTAAACCGAACCTGAACCCTTTTATACGGGTTCAAAGTGCATATTTTTGGCCGAGGCCACGGGCTCGGAGATCCCACGTTAAACTGACCTTGTGCCACATGATGCCCTCGTGGTGGGGTGACTAAATACTGTTCAGCATGAAGTCTGGAGTGAAGTCCGTCAGGAGTCTGTCAGTCAGTCAGAGCAAGCGAGTCAGTCAGTCGAGTCAGAGGCAGTCCGAAACAGAGTCGCCTTCAGACAATTACTACTAAACCTGATTGTTCGTACTAACACTTTCTACTTCTCTGTATATATTCCTGTTTGTAATATATCTGTGTTATTCCATATCTGTGTTCGAGTTCTTCTTTATTGGACTTCTTGGACTATCACCGTGGTACAAGGAACTGGACATATATAGTTTATATTTATAAATGATATATATTTATATATAAAAAATATAAACCAATATAAAAAAATAAAAAAATCACTTTATAGCAGTATACTGTACCACTAATAACAGATTCAAATCCTCCGAAATAAGAAAAATCCTAATCAACAATATCAAAATCCTCTAAAAAAACAAATACAAAAAACGCTTACAAATTCCTGAAGCCATCATAATTAAAAACCAAAAACCGAACATAAATAAAATAACATTTAATACTGACAGAAACCTCTTAAACATAGTTAATAACTAATCTTCCAAAATATAAATACCAACATCTTCCCAAATGCTAATGAACTAATCCAACAACACTGCTTAAATATCCAAAATATCTTTAAAAAATAATAAACAATCTACTTCAGATCGAAAGATACAGCCATAATGACGGTTGACAATAACCGACAGTGCTCGGCAAAACACCATCGACTAAGATCTTTTTTCAACAACTTAGACCCAAATATATATATATATAAAAAAAAAACTTGCGAGAAAGCAAGAAAAAGAAAAAAAGAAAGAAAGATTATTAAACGGAAAAGTTCCGTAGTCTTTAACAACATATGCCTCAATAATGACATGCTTACAAAATATACATATATGACCGAACTCATCACTCTGTTGCTAACCATTACACCATGTTGACACCCCCGAAGTATATATATATATATATATATATAAGCGTACTTCAATTTAAAAAATTGGAAAACCTAATGACATTTTGACTTCTGTTTATAAATACTTGCTGCAAGACAAAATCCTTATATTTATCTTGATAAAGTCAATCAGAGGACGAAACGCGTTGGTAAAGAAATTTTTTCCATTTGTCTTTATTCCCGTTCATCTTTTATCCTTTCCTCAATCTCCCCTATGCCCAGCCTTTTCTCTAACTCTCATTCTCTGTTAACCCCAGGGTGCTAGTGGCATTCCTGCTTTGCTTGGGATGAAATGATTTAATATATATATATATATATATATATATATATATATATATATATATATATATATATATTCAAACACTAATATTCCATGGTTATAGTTTATTACATTGGAATCGTAATCACGATCATATTCATCAGATCTACGATACCAATGTAATAAATTATAACGATGGAATATTATTGTTTGAGCCTTTTATATTATATTCTTGGTCTGAAATGGACATTGAGCTCTACCTGGATTCTATCCTCTTGAAAAATATATATATATATATATATATATATATATATGTGTGTATATTGACCACTAACATTAATATATATATATATATATATATATATATATATAGTTTATATACTCATTTGTATGGATATAAATGTGTGACCATACAACTAAATATGTTAGTTCTATCGCTAATATTGAGCGCTTTCCAAAAAGTACCGCGCATAAATAATATATTTGGACATTATATATATATATATATATATATATATATATATATATATATATATATATTTAGTTTATATATATTATTTATATATAGTTTATTTATATATATATGTTGTAACCCAGAAAAGGTTACTGAATGAGGAGTAACCAAAACGGAGATTGGAAATGAAATGGTAATTCCAATTGAATCCGTTAGATTCACTTACGTACTAATACCCTTGGGAAAGGTATGAACCCTCTTCTTCTCTCCTCCAGGTATGGGCAAATAACATGACAGACCGGGTTCTATAGGCTTGGATGGCAACTGCTCTACTGCAGAAAGAAATGGCAACCTACTGCGGGAAAAAATCTGCCTTGTCAGTCATGTATCGAAAGAAACATGATCGCGTAATCGTGTATCACGCATGGTACATAACTGTATCTTTATAACATCAATAATATACAATACTCGCCAGCGGCGTGAAGTAGGTAAACCACTGCTAGTGGTGGACTACTTAGCATATTAAACCCCTAACAATAGTGTCCAACGTATTTATGAGGATTGGTACATACCCATTAGTTTTCATAGGTACGGTATATAACAATATATTTATCTTATATTTGAATTTTCAAATCTTAAAAAGCAAAAGTTACACGTGCACGCATTCACATATATGTATGTGTGTCTGCCTGTGTGTGCATGTGTGCCTGTACCGCTCCAGAGCGTGGAACTACTTCTTAATTGCTGTTGTTCCTAGATCCACCCAGACACATGGTGGTAGCACCTGTTAGGGTCCCAGCTATGGGTAAATAGTGAACCTCCAAACAAAAACAAAACACTATGAAAGTATAAAAATACATTTTTATAATAAAATTACCAGCAATACATTTTTATATTAAAAACATTACCAACAATACCTATTTATAGTAAAATGATTAAAAATACAGGCATACTAACAAATTGTAGCGACTTCATTTAAATTCATTTAAAATATTACGAAACAACCAACATAAACACTTTCATGACTTTAATCCATATTATATCCTACAATTTCTTAAAGAAATCAAACTGCATTCCAAAATATAACTTCAACAAAGCTACAATATAAAACACACATATCATCGCCTCTAATAATTATGTCCATACAAACATATATATGCACAAAAGCTGAGTATCATCTACCATGTATTCAGTTGCGAAAGTAGAATAACATTTTCATTACTTTCAAGCTCCCAAGAAATTTAAATCTCAGCATTAAATGACCCATAAAGGTTTTGATATGCCGTTAAACAGAAAAATCAATCAATCAATTGATAAATCTCCTTTTACCATGCTCTATCTTTATAAGTGTCAGATCAGACCAAAAAATGGATTATTGCTGCCACATCTTGGCCGGAGCTGCCCAGTCTCCTCTTTCCAGCTTTGACAGAATTCAAAAGCGTTTACGCGGCCCTGTGGGCAATGAATTATTTTTCAGCCCTACAGTCTCTTATTTACAGTCGAAAATTCCCAAACTTATTGTTACTTTATCGTTATTTCCATGGCAAATGTTCTGAGGGACTACACTCATTCGTTCCATCAGTTTAACCTTTTACAGCAAAGGCCAGCCATGCTCGAATGAATAAGATGCAATCATTCTCATTTCCTTGATAATACATTGGTTAAAATAAAGTTCCATTTAGATAGTTTCTTCTCTAGAACCGCTACTGTGTGGAAAAGACTCCCAAGAAAGTGTTTCCTTGATCACGACAATCTTAACTTCTTCAATTCTAGGGTCAAACATTATCTATCCTAGTAATCATTTACACTTACTTCCTTCTCTTGTGTCCATACAGCAATCTCACTCAGTAACTATCTACCTTGAGCGGCTTTCGGGCCTTGTATTGAGTGAAAAATATTAAAACAAATTAATGGATTTTTTTATCCGATTTTATTTCTTATTACTAAAAACGTTATATTTCGTGGATACTCGTATTTGAGTAGACGTCTCTGCTTTGTAACAGAGAAATTGACATCTATCGGCTTGGGTAATCGAAAGTCTTATTAAAAATGTTGTGATGTATATTCCCTTTAATAAGACTCTAGTTCGCCCAGTAGATGTCAATTTCACTGTTAATTAAAAAAAAAAGACAGGGATGTCTACTGAAATACGTCTAGTCACGAAATATAACATTTATAATAATGAGGGATATATAAAATATGTAATCTTTGATACGAATACTTATTTAAGACATTGCATACTGAGAAAGACAATATTCCGAAAAAGAAAAACTGGACCTGGTCTGAACGGTAACCTCGGCAAAAACAAACACCAGCTGAAATATTTTGGGACAGAATGCAAACATTATGGAAACGGACTTGTCAACAGTAAATGGTGGAATTATTTACATCGATGTTGGAAAGTATCAGACAATGTGCCTGCAATACAGCTCACTGTTCAAGAAAAAAACAAAAAACATACGAATATCAACAAATAGAATGGACCCAGAATGCCCAGCTTACAAAGCCATGAAGTTTC